TCTATTTTATGTGCGATGCTGCCAAAGCGTGGCTTGACGAGTGATGCTAGGTCTGTGCCTGGGATCCGAACTTTGAACCATCGGCTGGCGAAACAGAGCGTGCAAACTTAACAACTATGTCACCAGGCCAGCCCCTAAAAATATTTTCTAAGCCATGAAAATCAGCATATCTTCCAGAAACCCTTTGCTAAATCAGAATAAATCTGCTCTGTTTCTGCAGGCTCAAATTTCAGCTCAGCACGCACCTCTGCAGAGATAAAGTCCTTTGTGTAGACTATCGCTTGCGTACTTGCCAAGTTTTCATAATGTCACAGAAATTAGACGTATAGGAACATTTTTGTTTGTGTCATTAGCAAAAATTTAGTATCTCTAATAGTTACCCAAAGTTAGACATCTTACTCAACAAATTTGTGTGAAAATATGAATTGTGTGGCCAGCAGAATACATGACCAGGGTAATCTACAATTATTTTAAAATCGTGTTCTCTCTAATCACTTTTACTCTCTCTGGTAAAAAAAAGGTTAGCCTGTACTAGGGATGACCAGTCCTAGGCAAAAAGTGTAAAGTCGATGGGGCTGGCCCTGTGGCCGAGTGGTTAAGTTCGCGCGCTCCGCTGCAGGCGGCCCAGTGTTTCGTCGGTTCGAATCCTGGGCGCGGACATGGCACTGCTCGTCAGACCACGCTGCTCAGCGTCCCACATGCCACAACTAGAGGAACCCACAACGAAGAATACACAACTATGTACCGGGGGGCTTTGGGGAGAAAAAGTAAAAAATAAAATCTTTAAAAAAAAAAAAAGTGTAAAGTCGAGAAAATTAAGTTGTAGAATTCCTGTATCTTTTTTCTCTTTTAATTCTAATTCCACTCATCTCTCTTCCTATATTTCAGCATCTTTTCCTTAGGTCATTAAATATTCTGACTCCAGGTTCCTCCCAACCCCTCATTCTTTCTTGAGCAGCCTTTCTCTCTTTCTCATTCTCTGTACTCTTTCTCTGCACTCCTCTTCATCATTGTGCTTTCTTCACTTACTAGAAGCTTCTCTCAGTTAATCTGATCAATTAATCTTTGCCTAAGGTGTTTAAAATGTCATCTTGAATAGTATATTAATGATGCTGGGTCGGTGTGCTGAGGAGTCAAAAGAAAGATTTCTTAGACTCTTAAGATCTGGCAGTAGTGCTCTTTTATTTAGAGAATAGAATAGCAAGGGGACAGGACCCATGGGCAGTCAGAGCTTCTGCTGCTGCCGGCATGGGGACAGGACCCATGGGCAGGCAGAGCTGCTGCGTGGGGACAGGACCCACGGGCAGTCAGAGCTGCTGCTGCTGCTGCCCCGAGTTGAGGGTTAGGGCTAATTTTATAAGGCATGGGTATGTGAGTCATCTCTTTACAAGACAAAGGAAAGAACATGAAAAAAGTTAAAATGGTATCAGTGCAGGTGGGGTCTGGTCATTGGGTGATCCCAAGACTTTTAGACAAGAATCAAATCGGATTAAGCAAAGGTCAGAAGCCACCACCCTAAATCAGTTACATGAAATTGCCAGACAGCAACCAACCCAAGTTCTTGCCTTCCCCATTAAGGGTTTCTAGGGACAAGGTCATCTCTTTTCTTCTTCCTGGTACAGAGAGGGAGGCACCTTTTACAGATAGAGATTTACCTTACAAATGTAAATGTGTCCCAACAAGGGCAAGTTCCATTCCCCAGAGCCTCCTTCCCTGTCCCAGTTTATCGAAAGCAATCAGCCCAAAACAATCCCGATGCCAAAGAGACATATCCTGGGGTGGCCAATTTCAGGTCCCTACAAGGTCATCCCCCCTTCCTTCACAAATGCAAATATCTCTCCAAGAGCAAGCAAATACCAGTCCTCAGAGCCTACTTCTCATCTGCAGTTTTAAAAGTAACCAGCCTAAAATCCTCATCATTAATACATACCATTTATTGACATACAATGAAATAAATATAATGTATTAAAAAGCTGGAGTTTTAGAGGGCTTAAACACCGAAAGGGTTGTGATCACCCTGTTCCCAAAGCAGTTAAAAATATAATTTTATATTTTGAAGCAGTACAGAGTGTACATGCACACTTGAATTAAAATAATTTCTGTAAAAGTTTTCTGATTGTCAAAGTTTAAGTATGTTAATGACGCTAGAGGGCTTGGGGGTTGATTTTTGGAATGACTGTTCACAGGCTTGGCTGCTGTCCTATAGTAGCTCCGTTTGCTACTGCCCTGAAGCTAAGCAATCTGCAGCAGGCCTGCGAGGTAAGGACTGTCAGTCTCAGAACACAGATACCGAAAATTTGCAGTGCAGGAAAGTGAAAAACTTTTCCAAGTTTTCCCACCTAATAAGTGGCAGTACTAGGATTCAACCTGAGACTTGGTAGTTAATGATATTAAGCTTTTTATATGCTTAGTGACCAGTCAACAGGCTTTTACTGTCTTAATTTGAAGGCCAATGGTCTACCCTCAGGCCCTGGCCTGCCTTTGACACGATTTGGCCCCTCCCTATCTGGCTCCAGCACAAATTTCTAGTCCTACCGCCCATTTCTGCCCTAGTGGGACACTGTATTCCTTGCTTTTGCTGGACCGTGTCTTCACTCGTGCTCCTCCCTTGGCCTCAAACGGAACTTAGCTTAACAGTCGATTTTGTACAATTATTTAAAACAAGACAACGGACTGTCGGGTCCAGAGAAAATGGTTTCACCCGGCCACGTGGGGGTCTAACTTCACCTCACACAATCTTTTAATTAATCTTTTTGTTTTTAAGCCTGTAACCTTCATTCTGAACCTTCAGAGGAACCCAGGGCCTCCAAATCCTGAGACATTCCAGGTTGCTGATGAGGATACCCATTTTCTCCTCAAAAAGCAGTTAAATTCAGTCCCCCCGCCCCCCCCCCCCTTTAAATTATAAACCATGAATCCATCTTCCTTCCATTCTCTCATCTGGTTTCTTCCCCTCTCCCGTTCTCTTTGTCCTTGTAGGTTTTTACCACCACCATCGCCGCCACCCCTCTTTGATTCTCTTTTGGTAGGGTTTCGAGAAGGAGAGGAATGGATGTGAGGATTCAATTTGTCAAATTTTATTGGAAGTCTAAAATATTTCTTTTTTTTAAACAGGAAGATAATCAGTCTGGTGTGAAAATCATGAACCTCAGAGTCAGACCCCCCACCTTATTCAAGTCATGGCACAGAGAGAAAATGATAGCATTTGTATAGAGCACTGGGGGAAGTGACAGCCCTGGGGCGGACTGTCCCTGAGCAAACTCACCTCCTTGAAGAGGCTGTGATCCCTATCACAGCAGACAGGTACTTCAAGGTGCACCGGCTGCCAAGCTCTGAGCATGAACAAGGGTTAAATCTTGACTGTTTTGCTTGGTAGCTGCAGGGCCTGGAGCAAGTTCGCCTAACTCTGAGCTCCCTTTTTAAACGTGAGGATTATGGCTCCCACTTCTTAGTACTCCTTTGAGAGTCACAGGAGCTAACATATCTGACAGTGTGAGCACAACAAGGTGTTCACACGGTAGGTGCCAATAACTCTGCTTCCTTCCTTCAGGTCTCCTCCAACAAACCACACCTCGCAGTGTAGGTGCTCACACTTGTTGAAGCAATGACTGAAGAGGACATCATTGCAATACAGTAGGGGATCATTTGGGGTCAGACGATCTCCTGTACCAGGGAGGAGCACTAAGCAACCAGGCAGAGGAAAGGAGGGGCCAGGAGGTTAAATGGCTTTTAACCTTCTGTGGATTCAAGGGGTGACAAGTGTCTTTTGAGACTGAAAATCATTTGATTTGAGGTTTTTGATAAAGTAGGCTGCAGGTTCAGGAAAAAGTCTAGCGTCTTGTTTCTCAGTTGAAAGGGAATAGCTGAGGTGGTTACTTAAAGAAATTTTCTGTTTTGCAGTAGATTTATCTGTGTCTTTAACCTTATCTCCACATTATTCTTTTCCTGCAGAATAATCTGTTTACTATCCTTCCTAGGGTCAAGGGCGTTCCACTACTTCTCACCTTGGACTTGGGAATACACGTATTTACATTCAAAACTGCAAGTATGGTCACACCAAAACCGAATGATTTTAGCACAATAATAAGGCAGAGGTTCACTCTGAGTTTCTGAGCTCTGCTCTGGTGTGAAATAGTGAAGGAGGTTGAAGAATGTTAAACCCAGATAGAAATTTATACCATCCTTCTCTTTTACTTTTCCTCAGCTTCGTCTTTTTCTCTTTTCCTTCATTTCATCTTTACTTAGCTCTTCCTTTTTGCTTTTTTGTTTTGTTTTATTTTGTTTTTGGCTCATCAGAAAAAGGGCCACAGAAACTCCAAAGAGGCACATTGGAAGGGAGGAAATACCCCACGTCAGTTCAGCTTTCTGCCTGTGGATCCTGCGGAGAGTTCAGCCAGCAGGTGACTCCCATCCCAGTTGGGATACCTTCCCCAGTGCCCTGTCAATCACCCCCATGAAACACTTCTCAATTTGGCTGGCGCAACCTCCTTCCACGCCTCCTACCCTCTCAGCTGTCAGGAAATCCTGGAGCAATCCTTGCCCTGGAGCCGCTTGTGTTTCTAATAACCATTGAGCTGAGCTAAAAAACCAAATAAACAAAACGAACACTTCAGGGGCCCTGCCCCAAAGCCCAGGGTTGCTGGTGTCCGCCGTGCACCGGAGGCGATGCCGCCTCCTCCAGCTCGCTCTCTAAAGAGGAACCCGGGCCAGCTGCGCGCCACTTGCTTGTTTGAAAACGGGGAGCGAGTTGGGTCCTCGGCCCCATTCTGGGGGTGCTTGTGCATCGCAGGAGAGAGGACGTTCTGCAGTTTGAGGGCGCCTTTCCCAGGAAAGCCTCGCGGTGGGCAGTGCGCAGAGGGTTGGGTTTCTGGCAGCGGCGCAGCCACCCCGCGGGAACACTGTGACCCCCATTCGCCCCCGGCCCCAACTCCAGCCTGTTGCTTCCCCGCCGCTCCAGGTCGGTTTTTCCCGGCGACTCTAGTGTGACTTCCAAACTCCTGGGCTGCTGGTTCACCTCGGAATTTGCCCACGCCTCCCGCCTGCTCCCCTCGGGCGGCAGAAAGTCGCGAGCGCCCCAGCTGTCGCCCAAGAAGTGAACCCGGGCCCGCGGGCAGCGCAGCGGCGGGGGGGCCAGCGGCGGCGATGAAGCCGTCGTGGCTGCAGTGTCGCAAAGTCACCGGCGCCGGGGGCCTCGGGGGGCCCCTGCCCGGCTCCTCTCCTGCCCGGGGACCCGCGCCGGCCCGCAGGGCTTTCATGGCCCCCGGCCCGCGGGGCGCACTCGGGGGCCGGGGCTGCCGGGCGCTGTCCTCCGGCGGCGGCGACTACAGGAGCCACTTCGCGGCCTCGGTGACCGACCCGGAGAGGTTCTGGGGTAAAGCCGCCGAGCAGATCAGCTGGTACAAACCCTGGACCAAAACGCTGGAGAACAGACACCCGCCTTTCACCAGCTGGTGAGTGACTCATTCGCCAGCCCAGGTCCTTCTTAACTTTTCGGCACCAGGGCTCGACGTCCCCGGCACCGGGAGCCTGGCGTTCTGTAAGGAAAGGAGATCGAGGCTGGGGATGTGCTCACTCTTTCAATTTGTGTTTAATTTCAATTCCATAGCCAGCTCTCTTGCCTTCTCTTGAGGGATTCTGTTACCTCTTGTGAGCCCAGTTTCCTACAGACCAGAGATTTACCAGTCAGGCAGGCACCGCTTGGCACAGGGGATGTTAAGCGCACTGAAAACAAAGGCCTTTCGCCAGGGCACTCACGGTCTAGTATGGGAGACAGCGACGTAAACAAATGCAAGCGGTGTAGGTGTAATAAACTAGGGAGGTGCATTACTTAGTATCCACACCCTGTGGAGAGGAAGAGGGTTGAGGACAGACTTCAGTAACATGTTACCTAAGTAGAGTTTGAAAGGATGGGTGTCTTCTCAAAGTCAAGAAGGACCTAATTATTAAAAACCAGGAGGTGGAAAACAGGTTGAAATTTGTTAGTGTGGTTGTGAAAAATTGTGTTGGCTGGAGAAGTGGGGGAGGGGGCTGCCGAGACAGGGGCTGGGTTGGGTGCCATGCCAAGTAGATTGGGTTATATCCATAGCCCTGTTGTGGATATGAAGCTGCACCATGGGGTACCCAGAAAGAGTGCACATGTAGGACAGGAGGTGCTAGGAATCATGGTAGGAATGACGTTTTTTCTCCTAGAGCTGCAATTATAAGTAGTTATAAACATCATTTTTATATTACAACAAACAGGGATACATTGTAGAATAAAGGCCAAACTTGGCAAAATATTAAGAGTGAGGCACTCAGTCTGGGAACTCAGAGTTGTGGCTGCTCTTTGGGCTGTGTGCCTAGCCCTTAAGAGTGTGGTTGCTCTCATCTGCCAGACGTTAGGGAGAGAGATTTCCTGTAAAACTTGAGAAACACTGCAGTGGGATTTCCCATTCCCATTTCCAGGTTCCCAGCAGTGAGATAGGAGAATGACATGGTCAAGTTTGTATGTGACAAATGTCTCCTGGTTGAGAGCAGGGAACCTGGAATGGAGAAGGGCAAGTCGACCAGAGCCTGTTCCGTGTCCCCACCAGGGCCTGTCCTCTCCTGATTGTTTGGAATTGTTTACATGGTTTTCCCTTTAGAATGTAAGCACCTTTCCCCTTCTGATTCAATTTTTTCAATAGTGTTTGACTGACCCTCGTGTATGCTCCTGGGAGGGACCCAAGAAGTAGGTATACACCAGTGAGTACGATGTGGCCCCTGTTGTTTGGGAGTCATGATGATTAAGAGCATGGTCTCTGGAGCCAAAATACTGGATTTGATTCTGGCTGTCACAATTATTGGCTGTCTGTTCTCAGGCAAGTTACTTAATCTCTCTGTGATTCAGTTTTCTCATTTATAATTGTGGAAACAGTATGAGGATTAACTGAGTAAAGGATTAAGACCATGTCCTGAATCAAATAGACCCTATAAAAGTTAGAGGCAGAATAGCTATCTTTGCACTCTTACGCAACAATTGTTTTAGGAGCAGGAAACCCTCGTAGTGTTCCTCAGATCAAAACACAGAGGTTACTGCCTCTACTAAAAGTGTATTCTCAAAATTCTGTGTACATGTATCTTTCACGAAGTATCGTGCTGAAATTATTTATGTGACCTTTCTCCCGTAAAATTGTATGCAGAGAACTCAATTCAGAAGTCACTGGGATATTCCAGGTAAAAACCAATGAGGGCCAGACATTGGCAGTGGCAGTGGCAATGGAAGGAAAAGGACGGATTTTTAGAGGGTTGGTTGGGATCTGCAAGGGCCCAGCGGAGTGCAGAGAGTTGGAGTCAAAGGGTCCATCAAATAGACATGTAAGACCTGGATATTTTCTAACTTGTTCTTTGTTCTAATCTCTAGTTGCTTGCCTACATTTTCTAAAATTGTGTGCATAAAATGTTATTTTATATGAGAATTTTTGCCAAAAGTCCTTGTATTTAAAAAAATTTATTACATTGGAGATTATTGACATTTGGTAATACCGTATCTGAATTCTTCATCTTTGAACTCTTGGAATTGCGTGGCCATACTTGTTTTATCAGCCCAAAAGATCAAAGAGAATAAGAGATAAGTCTTTGGGTCTGTATTTATTTCAGTAGGGTGATCCAATCTTACTAAGAAGTTTGGTCAGCAGAGCAGAGCTGGGAAGGAAGTAGAGCTGGGAGACCATACATCTAATCTTAAACTTTGTTCAATAATTCGTTTTGGTTTAATCCATTATTGTGTTGGATACATTATTTGCGGATACTCCTCATTGGTTAACAATTTTCTACAAAGCTAAATTCAAGGGCAGGGTCAGTATCTTTTTGTGTGTGTGTGTTTACATCCCTAGGTCTAGGACAGAGCTGATAATAGGAGTTTAAAACATGATAGTCAAATAACAGGATACGTAGGTTTGCTGAGTTTTGCTTGTGTATGCCTTTGGGAAGTCGTTAGTGGGTACAGGCACAATTTGAGGTGAGGGAGCTTTGCTTATTTTCTTTGAAGCTGGGATCTGAGGAAGGGAACTGTTGACAGCCAAGTCCTTAAGGAAAATGAGGAGGCGTCGCCACAGCTAATCTTCCCTCCTAGATGGAACTGACATACATGTAGTCAAGATCTCTGATGCCCTTTGGCTTCCCAGAGGCAAGAGGGATTCTCCTGCTTCATTATAAGCTCGTCTGTTTGTTTTTCATGAAAGAAAACTCCCCTCCAAAATTACAGGTCTATCAGAAAGCCCAACATATAAATAGTAATGCGTATTCGCTTTCACAATGGCATAAACTACCCAACAGTAGATTCCATATGCAGAGATATGAACATGGACTAGAAACCTTTAAGGGTGATCTACTGAAGGGACTTTCCATTATAGGAATGGCCCTGTAAAGTACATTTCTGGCACTGTAATCTCTGAGATCTTTGAAAAACAAATCCCAGTTGCATGTGGGTGCTTTAGGCAACCGCCTTTCCTCATAGTTTAGTGCTTAATTCACATTGTTGACACCTGGCTTTTGAAAGGGTAATGAAGTCTCTGTTACAGGCCCCAGTGGAGAACTGCAATCAGAGGTGAAGCAATTAGAAATTGGAGTAATTTCTCTACTCCTGGAACAACAGAAGAAATGTTTGGGTTATTTTTTCCTGTTGAATTAGACATCCTGCTGCCTATCCTGAAACTGAAATCTAGCCACCACTCTCTGAAGGATTAGGCAATTCACTTTTGTGTCACACATTGCCATTGACTTTTCCATCTGGGTCATCAGTTTATCCCTTTCTGTGGAAGCATTGCAATTCCGTTTTAGTTTATTTTCATGTAAACAACATTCATGATAAGGCTATCATTGAGAGTCTATCTATTTGATTTGAGAGTCCTACTATTTGATTTAGAATTTAATATGTATTAACAGTGACTGTTAGCTGAAAAGGAAGACTCCAACCAAATGCAGATTATAGAAAATGATTTCAGCTTGGTTAACACTTCTATAAGGGAAATAGTGTAGGTTTTTCAACGTGCAAGATCTCAGTTACTTCTAGTTATGAGATAAAAGTTGTTTAATCCCTCCAAGTCTTAAAATGGCTCATAAAAGTTAGAGGCATCAACCATCCACTGACTGTGTGTATAGTACAGAGAAAATGGAGAAGGAGATAGTGAAGGAACTTATCACGTGGTAGGAGGGGAGACATGCGTTCATTAAATAAATCATTACAAAACCATTTATTTAGAGTTACAGCAGATGCTAAGAAATAGAGTGGTTAATGGGGGATTTAACATAGTCTTCTCTAGGAGGATCATGGAAGGAGTCTTCAGAAAATGATGTGTAAACTGAGATTACAATGAGCAGGCATTACGTCTGAGAAGTGGGGAGGAGCATTCCAGGCAAAGAAAATAGCATATGCAAAGGCCATGAGATATGAAGTAGCTTAGTAAATTCTAGAAACTGAAAGACGGCTAATGAGGCTGAGGCTTAAGGAATGACAGGGCAACGATCAAGAAATGGCAGAAGAGAGCCATATCGTGCATGGTCTTGTGAGTCATATTAAGGATTTTAAAATTTTTTCCTGACACATAACACATGTCGCATAATGGATGATCAAAAATGCATTTTCCACTCGTCTTTCTGCACTGGAACAAGATAAGTTTGAGTTCAACTTCAGCTTTAGCACTTACCTTGGGCAAGCCTTAATATCTTCATTTACAAAGGGAGAATAATGATAGTATCAATTTCTTAGGATTACATGTGGGGAGAGGGGACAGGAGCTTGTCAAATGTCTAGGACTGTTCCTGACACACAGTACTTGGTATTAGTGTCTTTGGAATATGGAAGAGATAGTCCTATAGGCTAATATAGTCCAGGAAGTTTTCAGAGAAACGGTAGCATTTGAATGGATCTTAAAGTAGGACTTAGACAGGAAGAAAACATTTTTGTGTGGGGATCACACGTGACAGGCATAGAGGTAAGAAAGAACCAAGTGTGCTTGGTATAGTAGATGAGTTGGCTCACAGTGTTTATTTTGAGTTAGTGATACTGGCTGGACTTCAGAAGATCATTTCAGGATGGTTTTAGAAGGCTGGAATAGCAAGCTAAGGCATTTGCGTTCATTCCTTAGGCTACAAGTCACAATCTGACTGTAAGCTGGCAGATAGGTTTTGTTTGACCCAGGTGCTGGGGTTTGTTTGTTTGTTTTCTTCAGTAGGTGTTGTATTTAAACATTGGAATTTCATTTAAAATATAAATTTCCTTTTAACATTTCATTTTTTGGGCTTCTCTTGAAGTAAAGCAGAGTATCAGTCAGCATTCTTGCATGGCAACAGTTGGCTGGAACTGCGTAGCTGCCGTCCCAGGTTAAGTTAGACGTAGTGACTGCCTGGCAGTGGAGTTCAGGGAAGGAAAGAATTTATGGTGACTGCAAGAATTTGAGTCAGGTATCCAAGTGGAGGAATTGATTGTGAAA